TGTATTTACTCAGGTTATCTTTGTCTAATATTAAAATTAGTTTGATCATCTGAAACATTTAAGTGTGACAAATACGCAAAAAAAAGAGAAATCAGGACGGGAGCAAATACTTTTTCAAAGCACTGTATTAGTATGATTGATATCCAGTTGCAGGTAAATTTGGTAAATGGATAATGGACTGTACTTATATAGCACCTTCCTAGTCTTCCAACCACTCAAAGCACTTTACACTACAAGTCACATTCACCCATTCACACACATTCACTCAGTGACGGCAGCAGCTGCCATGCAAGGTGACAACTGCTCACCAGAAACAGAAACAATTTCTCACCAAAAGCACAGTACTTACACGAGGTATTGTCCATGACAGCTGAGGTGGACTGGGACATGGCAGGCTCCACCTCCCCCCTCTCCTCCTCTATCTGTTTGTCCTTGTCTTCGCTCTCTGTCACCGTTACCCCTTCCTCTCCTGATGCCACATTTTCGACCTCGGAGGCTCCGCTCTCTGAATCTGATGGCTCCTCCTCCACTCCCCCCACCTGACCACTGGAACGGGAAAAGCGGGAAAACAGGATTCCTCCGATTCCCTTTCCAAGGCTTGCAGCACCTGAGGTGCAGAAAGATTCATGGATCCATATGTGATTCATTCATTTCAGTTATCAATACTCTCCTATCACTATCAATGCATTCCTATTGAAGCCTAGTATTCATGTTAAATTAGGTTTTGACCTATCACTTGACCCTGCAGTGGGTATCAGGCTGTGCTGTCAGAAATCAACTGAGCTCTCTGACAGACAACACTATCCTTTAACCCTGACCTGTACTTTTAAGCCACCTTTAACTCCTACTGTCACCCAAGCAAAGAACCGACTGTGGGATGACCCGGCCATATATCTACATTGTATCTGCTCAGGTTAAACTTCAGTGGCTGGCCTAACTGGCCTGATAGGCAACTTCATCTAAGTTGTCCATCCACCATCTGTGTATAACTGGTTACACGAGTCTAGGGATCAAAACTGGTGGCAGGTTGGCCATTTCAGGCCCTCCATCCCTCTCCCTCCTGACATTATGTCAAAAATATAATATCATAAGATTTGTATTATTATATGAGAGCAGGTAGGTTTGGTAGACGGCTGTGGTTTACATGTTCTCCCTGTGTCTGTGTTGGTTTCCTGAAATTAGATGAATTGTAAAGTCAATAAATTGCCCGTAGTTGTGAATGATGATACCTACCCCGGCCACAGCTTGTTTACGCTGTTGCCGTTTATCAATTTTATACTGTATATACAAACATATACAGTATATTTTTTGCTTTTACAAGTATTTTTGTATATAATGTGCTTTTAGTCTTCACTCTACATTTGATGCATAAAGGGAACATAACATCATGCTGCCAATCCAGAAGACAGGAGCTAATTGCTTCTATTGATCTGTTTAGACCGTGTCCACTGCTTGCCTTGCTACAATATCAGCAGCGCAAGCAGCTCCTATTTCCCTCAGCTAGGATCAGCTACACAGGGAGTTTGTGACTGTTGTGAAAAAAAAAAAGAAAACCCACTTATATTATGCATCTGCCACATGAACTCCAAAATTCCACTGGGCATGGCATTATGATGTTGCAACAGAATTTGACTCCATCATCCACATGTCTTTAAATCCCACCAAGAGCATTTCAGAAGCCCAATGGCCCGAAGTTGTTGACTAGTGTATTTTGTTTTTTCCTTGACATTAGTGCTGTGGTCTCTGTTTATTGTTGTGTTTTTTAACTTTTGAATCCAGGGTGAAATATGAACGGTAGTCTACACAAGGTATTTTTATTTTGAAAATCAACAGGATTCTCTATGACATCTCTGTGCCTGACTTCCTGACAATGGAAACTGCTCTGTGCTGCTTCCGTCAAAAATAGACCAGCCTCGTAGTCTCTGTGAAGCAGAGCGTAGAGACGCTTCTAGGACGCATTGCAGCACTTCTGGTGGAATTAGAGACATTGTCTAAAGCGCAGCCGGAACGTGTCATGCCCGCACTGGATTTTGGCCACCGGTCTTCCTGTGCACTCACCCATGATGCTGGCCTTGCCCAGGCTGGTGATGGACTCTCCGTAGTGCCGTCGGGCCTGGGGCGGGGAGGTGCAGGGGCTGGGGATGCTCTCTGAGTCTGAGACAGATGCGGTGTCCTTCGGCAGGTTGAGCAGTGTGGGCCGGATCTGATTGTATGGAGTTGGGCTGGTGGTGTTATACCTGCACGTCACATTCACATCAACATCAGCTCACTGAAACATCATTCACTGAGTATGCCTAGTTTAGGATACTGTATCTTCAGTGAAAACTGGGTTTTATAATAACAGACATGATACATGATACACTGATACATGATAATTATTTCCACCATGTAGGTTATGTTTATGGTGCTGTTTGTTTGTCGAAAAACTATTGGCCCTTTCTTCATGAAACTTGGTGGAAGGAAGAACCCATTAAATTCACAGCAGGATGTTTTAATAGTTGTATATATGACTTGTCTTACCAGTGGATTTGAACAGGCGTAATGTTACTGTAGTGCTTTAAGATCAGAGGCTCCAATCTGTACGCCTGGAACACACAAACAAATACAAATTCTTAGTCTCCCTTGCAAAATTACTTCTTACAACTGTTTTATTTGAATGTAACTGCCAGCTTGTCATTTAATTTTCATTATTTTGCCTGACAGCAGGCTGATCGAGGCTGCTCACCACGGGGTCTGTGGGGTGGAATAAGTTGAAGAGGCGTTTGCAGATAGATGTGGGGAGGATGTGGTCCTGCACACCGTTGTTTCCAGGCCGGATCCCTCGCAACGCCAAGAAAACAGCCAGAGGAGAGCCCATACAGAAGAAGTTTTCTACCTGAAGCACAGACAACAGGCTGAATACAGCATGTAAATACAGCATGAGATAATTAAAAAGAATGCTCCAACAAGGCTCTCATTGGCCAGTTCCAAAGTCACTTCTGAATGCTTTGACAACAATATGCTCAATATAATGGTCAACAATAAGGATTTCCCACTTGCTAGTAAATCTAGCAACTCACTTGCTCGAATAATTAAAGACGTTGTTTTTTCCAGAGTGGATGATGGATGTAGCTAAGGAGTGAGCCATCTCTCTTCCTTCTCATCTCTGTTGAGAGTTGCACATGCTCAGTACAAATGGTGGAATTTGAGCTGAAGCGAAAGTGAGTGTTTCAATTACCCTGGAAACAGCAGTAGTTGGCTGGTGTTAAAAGATGTGGGCAAAACTCCCAACTATGTGTTGTACAGTTTGCTGCAAGTTTGAGAGCAAGGCAAATAAAATGGGGTCAACACGCCAAGTTTGAAAAAAAAAAATGCTCCAGTAACAAGAACAGACAGCATCTTGCTTGCATGTCAGCTAAGAGATTCTTTGTTGTTATTTGATGACTATTAATTAATAAATACATTTTACAGGGGCGAGTAAAAATTGACTTCGGGCAAGTAGATTTCTAATGCACTTGCCCAACCGGGCAGAAACATTAACATTGAACTCTGCTTTGAAAGTGTTAAACAGTAATAACTAAGTTCAAACCTATACATCATACTCTGCTAGATACCCTGTACCAGTTTGTGTTCATCATACTGTATGCTTGTGATGCTCCAAAGGAGAAGTTTGTACAGTCTAACACTTCTCAACTTTACCTTGAACTTCAAGGCTGGCACTGCCACACAAGACAAGGTCTGCAGACCCTGGAACTGATCCTCCAAGTCCCTCAACCTGGGATGACATTATACAGAGGTAAAAATTATGCTAGTTTGGAAGTTTCACCAAGGTTCAGAAAAAGTATGTTTACTAGTGAATATTACCTCTGCTTAAACAGTAGAGAGGCCCTGAAATCTTCATTACCTTTAGGTACGACAGGTGGAATCAAACTATTGACCTGTTCCTGAACAATAACCTGTGCGGTACCTGAGGCGTGTGAGTCTTAGCTGCTCCTGAAGGTGGCGCTCCTCATCACTTGGCCAGCGGACCTTTGTCTCCTCCGGGTCTGGCGCTTCTTGGTGATGAAAGCGAACGGGGTCCCAGCCCGTCATGATGTCGAAGGTGATGACGCAGCCCAATGAATGCGACACGATGGACACTTTCCCGTTCTTCTCAAAGTCAGGATTCCGTGAGCAGAAGAGTGAGTAGAGACGATTCAGCTCCAGAGTCAAACCCCTGGTAATCTACATACAAGAACCACACGTGCACATTTGTAAGGTATTGGCCGCGGTCACTGTTTTCAGTTGTGTCAATAAGATTCTAACAGGTTAGGTTATGTTTGATGCATCACAGTCTTGGTTAATCATGGCAGGCAGTAATGCATAATGCAGTGCTACGTATACAGCCATGTTGGATTAAAACATCTTAGCCAGGATTTAGTTGTGCCTGAGGGGAGATGATTCGGACTCATGGGACTAATGCTCCCAAACTGCCAGCAGGGTGTCAAAGTGCAGCAACACAGCTGTGAGGAGACAGAACGAGGCTAAACTTCAGGGTGGATGTGTATCTCAAAGGGAACTGGAAAGCTGTAGTCCAGCATGGTCTCAGTCTCACCTCATCTCTGTACAGAGGGCTGGTGTAGTACATGATGTCCATGGCGCTGCTGTTCAGCATGTCTCTGAGACCTCGAACTTTGTCTGGGGTGATGGAGTCCACTGTGTCTGCAAGACCAACACACAAACACATCCAACACAGCTGCAACACACTCCCAGAGGAAAATGACTTATTTCTTTATACAGTTTCATGTTCTTTTTTTTGATTAGTGGACAGAGCTTCTGGGTCTGTGAAGTAAAGCCAACCCGGAAGTGTCTTAAAGGTCAAGTGTGTAATGTTTGGGAGGATCTAATCACCTGAAAATTAATCAGAATAAGCCGATTTTATCTACAGGTCCTCTTGTACAGAGTCCACTATTTTGTATCGGCATGTTCTCTTACATACTTTTCAACACTAGATGCCACTAAGCTACCTACCAATACTACGCACGAAACTCAGATCAAGCTGTCAAACTGGGCAGTGCTAATCAAACATGAATCAAGATTCTATTACTGCATTGAATATATTTCTTTTTACAAATATAATTTAGTGTGCTGTATATCTGGAATACTAGACAGTGTCTGACCAGGCGCCGCTGCTGGCTGCAAAAGCACAACGAGGCGACAACCTTTCTAGTCTTCCGACCACTACGTTCCACATTCACCCTTTCACACACATTCACTCAGTGATGGCAAAGTCCACTGAACAGAAACTAACTCATTCATACGCATTCACACAGAGGAGCAATTTGGGGTTCAGTATTTTGCTCAAGCATACTTCGACATGTGTGCAGGAGCCGGGGATCGAACCAACAACCTTCCGATTAGGGGACGACCAGCTCTGACTCTGCACCACAGCTGCCCGTAATAATAATAATAATGGGCGACTTCACGATTCTCACGCGATATATAAACATATAAACCCATATATTTTCAGGGTTTTTTTTTTTGCAATGACCATGAACAGATGTTGATGATCAACACTGGCCATGAAATATTGAACTGACATTTAATAGTCACAGAGGTTGAGGTATCCCCTCTGTTCAGTCACCTTGATCAACCTGTTGGTCCATGAAAAGGTAAAAAAAAAAGAGCAAATTTCAGTGGAATCAGAGGTGAATATTCATGGATCAGTGATACTGGTGATCCTAAGACTTCACAGATTTACCAGCATACTGGATTAATCCCATGTGGGTCAGTATAAAATAGTATTACCAGGCTTTACCACATATTACAGCACCTGCATAATGCTACTGCAGCTTTCCTGTGTAATGGTCGTGTAATGTAATGTGTATTGATGAGCTAAATTGAAGCGCACCTCCATCCAGAGCCAGTTTCGATCTCCACTCCACAGGAAGAAACTCTACATGCTCTGTGGTGCGATCAGAGAAGTGCTTCTCCTCCATCTTCCTTGCAGCGTCTCTCATCCTGCACACCAGCCGAGACAAAACAATTACTTTAAGAATGAGTCTGATTCCACTTTCAATCTTTTGCACTCCCACTGGAAACCTCCCCATATCTCACATGCAGGTGTTCCTGATGATGCGGCCCTGGTCCATCTTCTGCCCAATGCCATGCACCACAAAGACGATGTGTGTGGTTTCGGGTGGGGTGTCCTCGGGTGCTGCCTCCTCGACATATCCCCGATGGAGACGTGTCCCGCTGCTAGAGGCTGAGGACATGAGAGGGGACATGAGGTGATGTGTTCCACAGTAGTGTGTGTAGTCACTTTTCTGACACTGCCTGCTACAACAAGGCACGCTTAACCTTTTTTGGAAACTCCTCTACATCACCTCTTGAGATGGGCCATTTATGCAGGTCACATTGACAGAATAACTCTTCAGAGACTGCTGTATAATGGTTTTAAGAGTGTAGTTCCCATAGACATAACATATTTTCACTCTTACCTCCAGTGGTAGCTCAGAGAGTCACTGAGATTCCTGCCTTAACCCCAACCCAATGGAGATGGATAGAATTAGTTTGTGCTGCTCAGAGCATTAAAAAAGGGCTTTTCAAATTCAACAGTGAAATCTTTTTCTAGAACAGTGTCCCTGTTGCCAGACATTCATACTAATGTAGCAAATTCAAGGGGCTACTGTGTGGGTGTGTTAGGTACCAGTGAGACGATTAAATAATATCCATTAAGGCTGGTCGGAGCAGTAGGTCTATGAGTACAAAGGCTTATCAGATAGACAGCTGTTTATAGTACTGATTTTACAACTCTGGAAATCATTTTATCCTACATGGAGAGTTGCACGCCTGTCACTCAGTCACTGATGGTAATTGACCCTTCCTTAGTCCCGCCTTTTTTTGCTCTGTGCTCCAATAACAGTTGAGTAAGCATCGGAAAACTTTCTTCATTATGTGCTTGGCTCATTTATGTTTATGTTTAGTTGAAAAGACAACCACATATTGTTAAAAGATAAAGGGGACATACATAGTCACATCTTAAGTTGTTAAATGCTAACTGACTAGCTTGCTATTCTGCATAAGTTGTTAGCTAGCTAGTTACAGCTGATTGCTAATGTTAGCAAAACACTAGCTAATTAGCTAGCTAACGATTGCTGTAGATTAGCTACCTAGCTGTCTAGCATTTTTTATATATTTTTTGTATTACTTTATTTATCCCACAACGGGGAAATTCCCTTGTCCCTTGGCAGCATTTTATGTGAAATAAATAAATACAGATATATAAAAAAAAAGCTATGTTAAAGTGGTAAAGCTATGGTATGG